AAAAAAAAAAAAAAAAAAAAAAAAAAAAAAAGGCAGATTACATTGTAAATAAAATTTTATATCTGATTATCTTAACATTTTATGCTTTGGTACTAATAATAAGTTAGAATTTGTGGAGTATATAAGATTGCGTACATGTGCTTATTTAGTCTTCATAATAACTACCACTCATGAGACCGGCCTGTGGCTCACTCAGGAGAGTGCGGTGCTGATAACACCAAGGCCACGGGTTCGGATCCCATATAGGGATGGCTGGTTCGCTCACTGGGCGAGCATGGTGCTGACAACACCAAGTCAAGGGTTAAGATCCCCTTACCAGTCATCTTTAAAAAATAAATAAATAAAATAACTACCACTCTCCCTTTTTAAATAGATAAGGAAACTGAGGTTTAGAGAGGTTAAGTAACTTGACAAAGATCACAAAAGTTAGTAAATAGCAGAAGTGATATTTAAATTCTATTTAATGCCAAAGCTTGGACTTTTAATTAAACATTATGTTCCATTATTTCTGAGAATTTCCCCCACATCATTAAAATCTCTTCACAGACCTCACATTTGATGACTTTGTAATACTCCACCATGGGATGATATACCATATCAATTGAATGAACCATTCTACTGTTGAACAGGTATTTGCTTCCTATTTTTCACAGTAAATAATATGGTGAACACCTTTTTGCAGAAAAGTTCAAACTATTACCTTAAGGTAGGTTATTGGAAATTAAACTATCAAGGCAAAGAATATGAACTTTTAAAAAAATTTGTGGGCCGGCCCGGTGGTGCACTGCTACAGTGCGCCGCTTGGGAGCGCGGCGGCACTCCCGCCGAGGGTTCGGATCCCACATACAGACCGGTTCCCGCTCACTGGCTGAGCGAGGTGCGGGCGCAGCACCGAGGGTTGCGATCCCGTTGCTGGTCCTGGTCCGGTACGGGCGCGACACTGAGGGTTGCGATCCGTTGCCGGACATGAAAAAAGACAAAAAATAGCCACCCTATCTGGAGCAAAGAGAAATCCTATTGTTTCTAACCCGTGTGAGTTCTCTGATGACTCACAAGGCGTGAGCTCCGAGAAAAGCTTTCTCCACATTCAGAACATTTATAGGGTCTCTCTCCTGTATGGGTTCTCAGGTGACGAATCCGATTGGAACTATGAGAGAAACTGTCTCCACACTCATGACAGGTATAGGGTTTTTCTCCCGTGTGAATTCTTTGGTGCCTGATTAAATTGGATCTGTGAGAGAAGTTTTCCCCACAAAGGGCGTAATAACTTCGTATAGCATACATTATACGAAGTTATACGATCTACTTTTGCTCTAGTACCTTACCATTTTAATCACTGATTAATATCTGTTTTAACATAAGGCAAATGCCCACTTACTCTCCATTTTCAAAAACGTACGAGCTCTTCTTACCTGTTCATTCTTCCGAATCAACTTCAGCATAAAATTTATTCAAGTCTCCCCCAGACACACACCAACTCTCTCTTCAGAGACTTGAGAATTGAGGATTTCATCATAATTCAAGTAAAATTAATGTGGGAAGAATTTACATTTATTTTTCTCCATTCAAGTTGTAAATGTAGTTTTGTGTTAATAGAATCCTCATATTTTTTGTTTTTCCTAGGTAGTTTTGTTGTTGTGAGTGGGGTCCTTTTTTATTATAATTAGTTATTGCTGATATATATATATATTTTTTAAAAGATGGCCGGTAAGGGGATCTTAACCCTTGACTTGGTGGTGTCAGCACCACGCTCACCCAGTGAGCAAACCGGCCATCCCTATATGGGATCCGAACCAGGGGCCTTGGTGTTATCAGCACCGCACTCTCCTGAGTGAGCCACGGGCCGGCCCGATTTGCTGATATTTTTACCTTGTAAATTAATTCAGTAGGGTTTTTTTAATGTCTTAATTTTATTACCCAGAACTTACAGAAAAAAAAAATAACATTGCCACCCAGCATCCTTTTAACACTCAGTCTATGCTTGCTTACGCTTCCATGGTTTATTCAGTCTGCAGCCTAGTGGAAGCTGGGAGACCTTTAACATCAAGAAGCTTGACCTGTTTTTTTAAGATTTGTCCAGAATGACAGCAAGCTGGGGGTGGGGTGAGGGAGAGTAATTATCCCTAGAGTTTGATGTTTTGCCTCCTTCGAGAGACCTTTCAAGCCTGGGATAGAATGAATTGTGGAAAAAGTTGAGCAGGATGTTAGATGAAGACACTGGACATATCTCTAGTTCCTTTTAATTTGGGTTTTTGCATCAAACGTCTTTATTCTTTTTCAATGGTAATAAATTCCCAGAATGGATAACCGAGTCACACCCATTCTCATTAGTATTCATTGATTCTGGAAGCTTCGCCATGTTCCGTGTACAAGACAATAAGCGTGGTACTGGAGATTTAGACCTGAGTAACAAAGCGAAGAGGAACAAGCCACCACTGGACGCATGAGGGCCGCATAAGGGCCTGAGGTAAGGTGAGTGTAGGGAGGGCCTTTGAGGGCACTTGGATAGCAGGGAAGGCATCTGAGGGTCTTGTGTGACTTGAGCTGGGCTAGAAAGCCTGGGGAGCATGAACGCAGGCGGAGCGTGCATCTCCCTGGGAGGCTGCCAGGCCCCCAGTGGTTGTCTTAGGGGCATCTGACAGGGAAGACAGGTGAGGGCCAGATTCTCAGTCACCTCGGGAGACATTTACTACTTTAAACTTTGGTCTGGGTCCACGTAAGGTCCTAACGGCTCTACCTCCTGAGTCTCTCTCCACTCTAGTCTCCACTCCCTCCTTACTGCCCCTCCTGGCCCAGGATCCCTCTATCTCCTTTCCCCGTGCCTGGGCCAGCGAACTAAAAGGAGGAGGAGCGCCCTCCCCCCGCCCCCGCAAGACCCTTCGTGGGTTTCCCACTGCATTTAGACAGAGACCCAACTCCTGGAGGCGGCCTGCGGGCCGGGCCCTTGGATGTCTTTCCCGGGGTCCGCACCCGCTCAGCCCAGCTCCGAGCGCCTGGCACCGCGCTCCGCCCTCCCCGCCTCCTGCAGGACCGCGAGGGCCCAGCAAGGAGTCAGGCAGCGCGACACCCTTCTGCGACTGCTGCGACCGCGGGGTCCGACCCGCCCGGGACTGCGCGGAGGCGGGGAGGGGCGTCTGGCCGCAGCCGGCCCCGGGCCCTGCTCCGCAGTGGTCTCCGTCAGACTCGCCCGCCGGAAGCTGAGAGAAGGCCGAGCTGCGGAAGCACAGGTGCGCTTGCTTTGCCCGGGCTTGGGAAAGCACTGGGATCTTTGGTTTTGGAACTCGTCCTGAGGCTTAGAGCTTCTCCGAGAAACCCAGGCAACCCACTCTCATTCCGATTGCTAGGGCAGAACCCCTAAACTTAAGCGAGACCCCCCCCTCTCCGGGAAGCCCAGTAGGTCAGGGATCCTCTCAGGGGCAGCTTCACCTGGGGAGTGAGGATGGACAAGCACAACTCTTCTTCATGTCCAAGAACATACTCCTGGATTTCAGAAAGATACTTCTTAGTATTCTCCTTTCCCCACCCTCACTGCCTGGAGACATATTACTCTCTTCTTGGAGCAGGTTTGGATGCTTGTGAGCCACCAGATTTGATCGAATATTTTGGGACATTCAGGGTGTCTCAGTGACAAATTGAAAGTATTAACATTAACTGGAAGATTTGTCAGAATTTCTTGGTAGTCTGAGTCCTGAATTTACCTAGATCATGTCCCCTGGCACTTCACTGTGTACCAGTCAGGCTAAACTTAGCACCTTTTAATAAAAATTATGATCCTTCTTCATGACCTGGCCCTATCAAAGAAAAAAAAAATTATATGATCTGAAGGAAATGTCAGTCTCCCTTTCAAAAATGGAAGTCACCATTTAATCAGCAGTGTTTGCAAGCTGGATTGAACGATAGAGGAAAATGTTTCCAATAAATGCACTTTTGCTTTAATTCATCTTGCTCTTCTTGAGCTCCTGACACCCAAAGAAAAGTTAAGAAGTCTTCTAGTGCTAATAAATTTGCTAGTTAGTTCTCCTGTAACACATTAAAACCCTTTACATGACTTGGTTGTTTCAAATGTTTGTGAAGCACTTACAAAAATTACAAGTCTTAAAGCAATGGTGATTTTGCACATTCCAAAATTGTATTAGTTGATAAATTATTCAACAGTGAACTCATTCTTTAAAAGGTGCTGAGTCTAAAACTTTAAATTTCAGATTATGATAATGAGAGCCACAAATTCTTTCATTACTGCAGTAAAAATTCTCAGTGACTTCTGATGGGTTTTTGTGGAAACAACAACAAAAAAAACCCCCCCACAATTCAGTGCTTTTTAAACACTTCTTCCAGTCTCCACTCCACCTTTGGCTTTGTTCTCATTGTTCCCTGGCCTGCTGTTTTAGCTTTTAGTCTGGCTCTGCCAGGCCTTTTCACATTGGTTAAATGTGGTACTGATTCTCCACCCAGAAGCCTTTCTGCTGGTCTCATGTGCTACCTTTGCTAAAAGGATGTGTGGCTATTGCTCAGGGTCAGTCCATGTCTCCCAAATCTCCTTTGTACCTATTTGGATTTAGGGGCCAGAGTCCTTATTGTCCTGACATCAGTCTCTCTTTGACATAAAAGCTGGTTGAAATCTGTCTTGACTTCTTTTACAAGAGGACTAGTGAGTAAACATATGAATGTAAAAAGCACTAACTTGGTCATCCCTTGCAATGACCTCATGGGAGCCTGCAGTAAGGGACTTGGACTTGCTCTTTGAAATATGACTACAAGGGAAGGAGAAGCCATCAATCCTGTCAGCAGCAGACTGCTCCCTTGAAATTCCTGCCAGTGTGGTTTTACATTGACCTCACTGCTAGGTGCCTAGAAGGAAATCTTTTGCCAGTATTATCTGTCCACAGTTGACACAAATAAATGAGTACTTTTTACATGCTAGGCACAGTACAATATTTTGTGACATTGTCTCATTAAAACAAGGCTGAGAACAGCTATGCATGTGAAGTGTGCTAGAAGGGGAGCTAAATTGGGGATTTGGTGAAGGGTCCTGCTGGAAAGCCTTTTTAGTGCATAGGGTGAATACCTGGTGGTCCTCATTGTTCTAGCTTCAAGCTGCAATGCTTCAAGAAAGTGTAACCCCAGTTGGACCACATCGTAAGATCTGCATGATTGATGTTATACAGGGGAGGGAGAGAGGAAGAAAGGGAGGTGTGCTTTTCCATTCTGAGATTTACAATCCACATAAACTGCCATCTTAACCAGAGTGCTTAGTGGTAGCATCAGCTTTACACCACCCCACCCAATTCATGGCATCAGCAGCCACATCAGCCCTGCCCTGCTCCACTAGACCTTGGTCCTGCTCCTACCATTACTGATCCTACCTTAATTTCTCTCTAATCCTCACCCCCCTCAGTTCCCACACTACCACTGCCCTCCTTCTGTAAACAAGGTGGATAGGAGAAAGGAAGCAGTGAGATCTTTAAAAATAGGCCCAGAAAGGAAAAATACTAGACTGAGGCAGGGTTGATAAGGAAAGGGAGGAGTGCAGGCTTGTTTCCTTCACCTAAAATTGCTATATATGATGGCCTGTTGATAATGGATTGTTTCATCATCTTTTTCTTCCAAAGAACATCTAGTTAGTTACTGTCCTCCAGGGCCATATCCTGAAGATATTTTCCTGGTATCAAACTTCCTACTCTAGAATACTTCCTGGTATTCTCTTTCCCATAGATAGATCTGAAACTATTTCTGATTCCCCATTCTTTTTTTTTTTTTAAAAGATGACCAGTAAGGGGATCTTAACCCTTGACTTGGTGTTGTCAGCACCACACTCAGCCAGTGAGCAAACCGGCCATCCCTATGTGGGATCCGAACCCGGGGCCTTGGTGTTATCAGCACCGCACTCTCCCGAGTGAGCCACGGGCCGGCCCCTGATTCCCCATTCTAAAACATGCCTTCCCCTAATAATTTTGCCTTCCCCTATATCTTCCCACCATTAATGATCAATAAGTTACATTAGGACCCCCTTAGCTTCTCTCCTGAGAACCAACTGCAAGACCAAAATATCTTGAAGAGCTGGATCTTCCTGAGTTACTTCCTAAGAATATTTAAAGATGACCGGTAAGGGGATCTTAACCCTTGACTTGGTGTTGTCAGCACCACACTCTCCCAAGTGAGCTAACTGGCCATCCCTATATAGGGATCCGAACCCGCGGCCTTGGTGTTATCAGTACCACACTCTCCCAAGTGAGCCATGGGCCGGCCCAAGAACGTAAACATTCTAAACAAAGAATCAAAAAATTTTTACTGCTCTACACCACAGAAGGAAAGAATGCTTTTTAGACACCCTACAGGAATATCACCCCTGAGCAGCCATTCAGCTTGACCCTTTGTTACCACATAGCCCTCCCAGCCTGGAGCCTGCTAGGCCCACACCCTGCCTCAGCCTGTCTGCTGCCACCTTTGTCAGAACCTGACAAACCCAGTAAGTCCACAAAGAGAAAGCAGGGCCTCTGACCATGGCAGAGGGCAGCATGGGGGGTCAAGACAAAGGTCTTCAATGAAGATTCATACACATTCATGTTTCCTGAAGATATTTACTCCAATCCAAACTTATTTAACAAGGACACAATCCCTAATTTCCCTAGGATCCACGTTTTCAAAGTTTCCTAGGGAATCCATCTTCTGTGGAACCCTCTACCCTAGAACAAGTCTCCAGAGCTCTGTTACCTGTTTTTGACACTGGTAGAGGAAAGTCTCAATCTCTGCAAAGGGGAGACAAATTCAACTATTTCCTCTGCCAATTTCTGGGTTGACCTACAAATCCCACCTTACTATTTTACTTAGGCCTCTGTCTCTTTGTCTGAGGTCACATTTACATGTGTGGTCTGCCATGGGCACTACTGTCAGGCCATTAAGGGGCACTGTGTTGGCTGACTTGGACTGCCCATGGCTTCCCAGCCAGGGCTTGCTTTCAGTACAGTTGCAACTCACCACAGTCTTATGTTGACCTCTAGCTAGCTTCCCAGGAGACTTGGTTTCTGTAGAAGGTCCCAAGTGAGGAAGTAGTAACAAAAAGATCACAAAGTTGTTGGGATAAATAATGGACACAGTAAGGCGCCCAAATCACACCTTGGCTGAATATACCCAGGTGTGATGCACGTTGGGACAGGACGGATTCAATAGAGAATTCTGCCTTGAGCAGGTCACCTCAAAGACTCACCATCCTTACTGGTGCAGGCAGACCTCCTTTTTAGTTCTGTGCTAATCCTTTGCTGTCTCTGCACCTCCTTCACAATGAGCTCCCATTTCCTCTTTACATTAATTACCTGAAAAGCACAGAGGTGATGTGGTTGGCTAGGCAAGGAATACCACTTCTTGACAACAGGACCCTCTGAATAGCCACCCTATCTGGAGCAAAGAGAAATCCTATTGTTTCTAACCCGTGTGAGTTCTCTGATGACTCACAAGGCGTGAGCTCCGAGAAAAGCTTTCTCCACATTCAGAACATTTATAGGGTCTCTCTCCTGTATGGGTTCTCAGGTGACGAATCCGATTGGAACTATGAGAGAAACTGTCTCCACACTCATGACAGGTATAGGGTTTTTCTCCCGTGTGAATTCTTTGGTGCCTGATTAAATTGGATCTGTGAGAGAAGTTTTCCCCACAAAGGGTACATTTATATGGTTTCTCTCCTGTATGCGTTCTCTGATGTCTGGTGAGGTGCATGGCCTGTCGGAAGCTTTTCCCACAAGTCAAACACTCAAAGAGTTTCTTCTCTGCCTTGTGGGCTCCACGGTTTGTGAGAAACGGGGTGCTGTCATTCATGGCTTCCCCACACTCAGAGAAGGGGTAAAGTCTCTCCTTTTCATGAGTTCTTTCGTGAATGATGAGGTGTGAACTCCGAGAGAAACTTTTCCCACACTCGGGACACTTATAGGGTCTCTCTCCGGTGTGAATCCTCTGGTGCCGAAGGAGGTTGGAACTGTGAGCAAAGATCTCCCCACACTCGGGGCACTTGTAGGGCTTCTCCCCTGTGTGCGTCCTCTGGTGCCTGTGGAGGTTGGAGTTGCAAGAGAAGCTTTTTCCACATATGTTACACTGATAGGGCTTCTCGCCAGTGTGGGTGCGCTGATGACGAGTTAAGTGGGTATTCTGACTGAAGCACTTTCCACATTCAAGGCACTTATGGGCTTCCTCTCCCAGGTGTGCTCTGTGTAGCGACAGAAAGTGTGAGCTTCCACCAAAGATTTCACTGCACTCTACACCCATACACAGTCTTTCTGCTGCATGTATTCTCTGGTGCCTGATTAGGTTCGAGTTGTTAGAGAAATTTTTGCCGCACAAGGGGCATAAATGGAGTTTCTTTGGCTGTAGTTCCTTTGGTTGCCCCAGTTCTCTGCAACTTGTGACTCCTGCTAAGGACTGCTCCATTCGATCCTCTGGGGAAGACTCCCAATGCCCTTCTGCCCTATCACGAGGTCTTCCCTGCTCAGGACTCCAGGGCACCTCCCCTCTGGCCTGGCCAGGGAGCAGAGCCTGAGGGTGGGTGTTCTCAGGGGAAACAGAAGGAGCACTTTCTTTCCAGTTCTCAAATTTCTCTTCCCCTGGCAGAGAGAGAGAGAAACCAAACCCCTACATTATTTCTACACTGGAGAAAAGAAAATTCCACACATCTTCTACTGCCCGTTACACCCAAAGCCCAGAAAGATTAGTTCTACCTCAGATTCTTATCTTCTCCCTATAGGTAAAGTACTTCAGAGAGGCATCAGGATAAGGGGTGGAGCCATCTCTCAAGCAAGCTCAGACCAGTCTTGGAATTCCCTTCTTGGGGCCTCCCCGCCACTCTCCCACTGTGTCTCTGGCTTCCACCATTCAGGAATGGGTGGGATGGAGTGGGCTGGGACTAGGATGGGGCAGGTGAGCCCCAGAGCGAGTGCCTTCTCATGGACTGCACCCTGGGTTCCTCATTCACCTCCCTGAGATCAGAGTAGGTAGTGGGGACACAGGAAGTAATGTTCTTTTCTTGCAGCTGTGGTGGGCAGGCCCTGCCCCAAACCCTCAAAGGCTGCACTCTCAACTGCAGGAGCCTTGCTGGGCAGGCTGCTCATCTTTACTCTTTACCTGGAGCTGCACTTCTGGGGCTTAGGCCGTCCTTCCAACTCTGGACACTGGCACCCCATGGCTTTCCTCCTTGTTCCACCTGGGTGCTTAGGGCCTCCTGACTGGGAATGTGAGACTCTGTTCAGAATGAAAGAAGTAGATTTTTATATGACCAATTTCCCCTACAAAGCAGGAGAAACAAAGATAGTCTTGTTCCCTGCTCTCAGTGGCTAGATACAGACTGCTCATTAAGTCTGACAGCAGTTACTTAGAATATACACTAAACTGTTCACAGTGGTTACCTCTAGTGAAAGAAGTTAGGGAGACTATGGCTTTTTTCTTTTACACTTTTATAGTACTTGGAATTTATTTTGTAATGAGAATGTACACTTCTGTAATTAAAATAACAATAAAATGAACACAGACAGGGTGGTCACTTCCTTGAAGAATCAGTTTAATATTATAAAAGAGCCTTGACTCTTACACATAAAATAGAACTAAGTTGGACTGGGCAACTCCACAAGGAGAAAATACAACAAGATGGACAATCAGAAAAGGAACTGCAGCTGGTTGGTTAGCTCAGCTGGTTAGAGAGCAGCCTTATAACACCAAGGTCACAGGTTTGGATCCCTATACCGGCCAGCCGCCAAAGAAGAAAAGAAAATGACCCGAGGCTCTAAGAGGCCTGAGAGATTGAAACCCCAAAATGTCATTTTTGTACTATGCTAAAAAAACCCAAAAACCTCCAGCAAACATGGACTCAAACAGAAGTTTAGTTCCAGCAAACAAACTCTGATCTGATCTTCTCTTTCCATTTAGCACTCACTGAAACAGCTATATTCAACTTTGGGTGTCACAGCAGTGGAAAGGTGATATGAAAAACCTGGAAGATGGTTCCGATGAGGGGAAACAAAAAACCACTAGTAACCCCTTTGGAGAATTAGTGCAAATGGGTTTATAGCTGTGTGTCTCTTTGACTGGTGTGTGCTTCAACATAGCTATAACCATAATGCACAGTCTTGTTTTATATTGTTTTCTAATAGACTTCCCCCAACTTGTTACTATGAGAATTTTCATGCATACACAGAAAAGTTGAGGGAATTTTACAATAAATACTTGTATACCCTAAATCCAACTATTAGTTTTTTATGTTTCACAGACATCATTTCTAATCTCTGCATAATAGTTAAGCACATAAATACATCTTAATTTATGTTTTCTTGGCCCGTTTTGGATATATACATTGTTTTCTAATTTCCACAAGGCCTTCCCTGCTTCCTGAATTTTATAGTCTGTGAGAGCTAGGAATGTTGGTGCCAGTGTTCCTGAAATTTCTGACTTTGGGGAGAGGCCTAGAAATACTAATGGAGCACAGGAAACATAAGTGAGCTCAGAAGAGTATGCATCTTAAAACTACAAGGAATCCAGGACTTAGAGCTCCCCAAGCATCCTAGGACACCAAGCATGTAATGTGGGTAGGTGTCACTGGATTTGATTTACTCTGCCCTACAAAGTCCACTATGGTTCAGACTCCCTTCCTTAGACTCTGACAGCTGAGGCTTGAGTCCAGGGCTGCCTGTAATTGTGCCAACTTTGCCACTTGTCAGATGTTTAACTCATCCTAGTGCAGTGGACTTTGTACAATAGCAGGTCTCCTATGGAGGCTTCTTGGCAGAACTCTAGACCTTATGTCCAGGAGGTGAGTGTCCTAGGGGACAGGACCCTCGTGAAAAACTGCACAGTCATCATCCCTGGAAAAGAAATCCTTACCTAGTGAGTCCACATTCTCATAACTCTCCTGCAACGTGTTCCTGGAGAGGTCCCTCTTACTGGGATCCTGATGTCCCCACTCCTCCTGGGAGATGTACACTGCCACGTCCTCTAAGCTCTCAGGCAACTGAAACAGCAGAAGATCTCCTTCAGCCCCTGATGCACCAAGAACAATTCAAGCAGAGTTGTGGGTTAAAGAGGCAAAACCCAGGGGTGCCAAGGACACATGTCATGGGGATGAAAGATGTCAGGCTTATAAGGGAGGTGTGGAGGAGACAAAGAAGGTGGGGGAGATGCTTGTGGTGAGGGAGAAACAATCCTCCAAGTGGCAGAATGACACCCCCACCCCCCAAGAGGAAGACTCCAGGAGAGGAGGAAGGGTGCTGGGGGAGGGAGACAATGGGAACTTCCACATCACCTGGGGCCCAGTCATCTCTTTGTCTTCCATATTCCCTTCAGGAGGAAAGAGAGAAAGCCAGGGAGCAGATAATGCTGAAGGTGATAGAAATCATGATGAGAATGGCATTCCTAACTCTTGGCAAGCCAAGGAATAGTACAACACAGTATCCACTCCCCAACACCCAATCTCTGCTCTTAGGATTGAATGTTAAACAAAAGAAGGCAACCGAGGCATAATAAAGTGATATCCAAAATCTGGTTGAGGTCTTCCCTACTGGCCTTCATCACTCCAAAACCCCATCATTCACCTAGCTCTAAATTGACTCTGTTCTGCATACAAAATGGCTCTACTAAGAGATGTCCCTCCTTCCCCCCACCCTTAGAGAACCCAAACCAACACTTCTAGGTCTTTCACTCCACATCTGAGAATCTTCAGAAATTCCTTCTACATGACACCTGTGCTCCATACTACTGTGTCAAGGGCAACCCCAAAGCCCCACCTCCCCCAAGCTGCCCAGATAACTGTTCCTCACCCCTCTCCTTTACAGCCTGGGGGTCCCTTTTGGGGCTGGGGCCTAGCAGCTCCTGCAGCCTGGGGCCAGGGCTTCGCTCAGTGTCCATTGGCTCCAGCTTGAAGCTCGGTGACTCTCGTGCTGTTTCCAGAGGCAAAGGCTCCTCCAAAAGCACTTCTGTTCCCCGCCCATGGTTTGTGACCTGGGAACCAACCCACATCACTCATCATCAACAACAGGGCCCAATAGGAAGGGAAATCAGTACAGGGTTCTGAGGGCAAGCCTTCAACAGAACCACAGGCTCTCCCTTTGGACCCAGCAAGAGAGAGGGATGGTTTACACTAAAGACTTTCTTGATCCCATGTGCATGAGTGAAAATGGGAGGGGGAAAGGGGAGGTTCCACTCCCAGTGCACACCTTCCACACACTCATTCCCTTTTCTCTCCCCCCACCTTTTCTAGATGCTTCTATTCCTCACTAATATATAAGCTAAACTTGGGTGGCCCTGGGGCGCACCTCAGAATCTCAGAGCCAAATTGTTTTTCTAAGTTCATGCTTAACTGACACCCAACCCTGCAGAGGAGCCCAGACTGTTGACCCTAATGCAATAGCTAACAGGTATTAAACACCAGTAGTGTGATCAAAACTTTACATGCTGCTTTTTCTTCTAACCTTCAATGTAGCCCTAGAAAATATTTTATTATCCTCATTTTAGCAATGGAAAAACTGAGGCCTAAAGAGATCAAATAACTTGCCCAAAGTCATAAAGCTAGTACTTAGAGTGAGGATTTGAACACTGGCGATCTAACTCCACGGCTCCCACTATTACCACAGGATCTCCTCCGTGTGGAAAACGGGGCACTCCACTGTTCACTCTGTTCATTTGGAGAAAGTCTGGAGAATGAGTGTTACAGATTAAAGTGCAAAAAGGCCTGTAGCCCTCATAAAGTATACTCAGGTCAACTAAGTAAATTCCACAGCGGAACTAGGTCAGCGCGATGTCCCAGTCCTCGGGGCCAAACAAACCGCAGATAAAACAGCTTTCTCTCACCTGTTGCCTCAGTCTCCCAAGCTCTCTCTGCACATCCTCCACAAGTGTCACCGCTTCCTCGCCGCTCTCCGGGTGCAGCTCCTGCACCCTGCTCTGGATCTCCTGGGGCAGGATGGTCAGGAACTGCTCAAGCACCAGCAGCTCCAGGATCTGCTCCTTGGTGCGCATCTCAGGCCGCAGCCACCCATGGCAAAGCTCCTGGAGCCGGCTGAGGGCTTCCCGGGGACCAGCGGCCTCTTGGAAGCGGAACCGTCTGAAGCGCAGGTGAGAAGCCTCGGGGCTGGGCCCTGTGTCGGGCGGGAGCAGCTCCTGGCTCCACGCGCAGTCCTCTTCCAGTTTCACTATCAGGAGCCCTTCCCGTTCCTGGGAACCCAAGCCCGACGCCATCGTCAGGCCCCCGGCGCGCCTTGGCGCCGAAACCAGCCGCGCCCGCCTAGGAAGGCGCCCCGGGGCCCCGAGCCCCGAGCCCCGAGCAAGGATGGACCGCGTCGGCAGGAGCTGGGGGGCCCGGGCTCCAATTCCGGCCGAGGATTCCAGCTCCAGTCGGGGCGCAGCCGACTCCGGCGCCTTGGCCTCAACCGGTCCCGGGCACAGCCGCGCCGGACCAGTGGCCCGCCCTCGCCAGAACTTCCCAGAGGTAGGAACCCAGGGCCGCGTTTCCCCAAAGTCCGGGATCCAAGAAGGGCCCGGCCCTCAGCGCCCACGCCGGAAGTCCCGGAGCGCGAGCTGGGCGTCCACAAACCAAAGGCGCCTGCTCGGGACCATCTTCCGGGTTACGTTTTGCGAACTCTAGCGCCCATTGGGTCAGGTCTCGCCACAGACTCACCACCGACCAACGAAAAGGGAATAGTTGATTGAGGGGACGGGACGATCGGGGACCAATTGGAGGCGAGGGGCGGGACCATGGGGCGAGCCACTGATCCACGGAGGCTTTGGGGGCGGAGCCTCCAGGACCCAGAGAGGAAAATAATCCCAAGGCGGGTGTGACCGGTGGACGGCTCGGGTCTGAGTACCGCAGGAAAGCTTTTTAAAATACAAATCCCCGAGCCACGCGAGATCCAGTGCGTCAGAGTGTCGGAGTGAGGCCCGGAAATCTGAACTGTTAACAAGTTCCCCCAGGACATCCCTTCCCAAGGCAGTCCCCACGCGCCTCGGTTACTCCGGGCTGGCAGGGGAGCGTTTCACCAGGGTCCACTCCGCCTTCCGCTCGGCACCGCCCGGAGGCCGGGGAGCCTGCCGCCCCGCCCTGTCAGCGCGCCGCGGGTCCAGAGGTGCGGAGCCTGCCGGGAGGTGCAGTCCAAACCGCAGCGCCACGACTGCGCCTGCGCTTGCGCCCACCTCTGCGCTTGCGCTCTGGGTGAACGCCGCGAGCGACCCAGAGCCGGGTGGGCTGGAGCTGGCGTCCCCTGTGGCGCTGGGGGCGGGAGGGGCGTGGCTGGGGGGTGTGCGGGACGTACCCTGCGGCGATTCCCTCGGCGCCCGGTCCGCCCTACCGGCCTGCGGTTTTAGAGCGGATTTAAAACTTTCCCGGGACGTGTCGCGCTGGCATCTCAGCCCTGCGCGGGCAGGATGGATCGCCGTTCATCGTCCTCCTAGCTTTCCTCCTTAGCGGCGAACGCGAGGAAAGCCGGAGGGCCCGTTCCCTGCCCGGCGCGGCTGTGGGCTCTGTGTCAGCGCGGGGAGGGCCGCCCAGGCGTGCGTTCCCTCCAGCACCCTCAGCCCCTGAGATCGGCACATGGAAGCGTCGTAGCAGTAACTCGTGACAGCCTGTTCCCGATGCAGTTGGATCCTCAGGACACAAACTTGTACGAAGTGATTGCTGTTGTCAGCGCCTTGTCACAGATAACGACACCGAGGGCCAGTTAGGTCCTTAGCCTGGGATCACACAGCTGGTCTGTCTCTAAAGTTCAGGCTGCCATAATGGGAAAGGGTAATATGGCGTTGAAGATGATCTATTTTGGATGACTGGGTGGAAAGAATTTTTGAGTTTTTTGTTGTTTTTTTTCTTGTTCTGCTGCAGGGAAGAGGACAGGTCCGCAGGCTGTCATGGCAAATACGGAGCTAGAGGCCCCATAACACATGGGCAGGTATAGGTCCGTGTAGGAAAACCTTGTTGAGACGTGACCTCACATCCTCCTGAGACCATCTTGATGTTTTTAGACATTCCTCTTCCAAAAGATTATATATGCTAACCTTATAACCATTTCTCTGGCATTTACTATTTGATCTCAGGAAAGTTATTTAATCTCACTGAGCCCAAACTTCATTTCTCTCATCTGTTTTGAGAGGGTAATGCTATACCCACCACATAACAGTGGGTCAGGATTAAATGAGCTAAGATATGTAAGCTGCTTAGAACAGTACCTGGCGCATGGTATAAACTCAATAAATAGTAGCTGTTACGAATGCACAGCGAATTCCTGAAAGCTTGCCCTATTCATTAAAAAAAGCCACTCGGATAATTATTGCAGAATGTGGGGTATGAGAATGTTTATGGAACTACACATACCTTGAGATAGGAAGGATGAGGGATTAATCATTTGCTGTCTAAATTCCCTTTGATTTTAGGCTATTAATGGATACTTAAAGGTGGATGATCTTTCAGGGTTATTCAAAATTACTGGTAGTATTTCTTAATTTATCTGTGGACTACCTATAAACAGAAGAAATAGCTGTTATTTGACTGAGAGAGGGGTTACAGGCCAGCAAATCTATAGGGGTTCATTTGGGATTTGGGGTTCTTAACCTGGAATCCATGAAATTCTAGAGCACCGCTATCCAATAGAACTTTCTGTGATGTTGTGCTATTGAGCAATTAAGATGGAGCTAGTGTTGCTAAATATTACCAGGTGGATACCATATTGGTTAGTGCAGTTCTAGAAGGTCCATGGATGGGTTTGGAGACCTTATAAACCTTTTGATTTTCTATACAAAATTGCATGTGTATGTGTATTTTCTAGGAAGTCCATAGCTTTCATCAAGTTCTCAAAACCACCAAAAAGATTTAAGAATTGCAACTTTAGGGCTTTGGTGAAAAGTAAGTTAACGGAAGTGAGCATGCCTTCTTGTAATGACTACTGATTCTCCATTCTTATATTTTCTTGTCCTCAGCAGAAGGCGGCTCCCTGATTGTTACAGAGAAAGACACATTTGAATCTGAGATAAAGAACCCCTACTACCCCTGGTTTTAGGTTACATGGATACTAGACTGCCTCCAAGGCTGCTTTCAGTCCTGTGAAGGTTAATTCTAGATGTCAACTTGGTTAGATGAAGGAATGCTGAGAAACCTGGTAAAGCAATCTTTTCAGGTGTGTCCATGAGGGTGTTTCCGCAGAGATTAGTGTGAGAGTCTGAGTGGCCTGGGTGTGAAAGACCCACCCTCAGTGTGGGTGAGAGCCATCCAATCCACTGGGGGTCTGGAAAGAACAAAAGACAGAGGAAAGAGATAAAGCTTTCTCTCAATCCGCTGGAGCTGGGATACACTCTTCTCTCTTGTCCATGGACATAAGAGCTTGAGACTCTTCAGCTTTTGGGTTCCAGAACTTACACCAAGGACACCATCAGCTTCCCTGGTTCTGAGGCCTTGGACTTGGATGGAGCGATGCTACCGACATCCAGTTTATAGACAGCCTATCGTGGGACTTTTCTTCATAGCCACGTGAGCTAATTCCCCTAATAAATCCCTCTCATATAATTATAACATATCCTATTGATTCTGTCTCTCTGGAGAATCCTGACTAATACAAGTCCTTAACTAGGTCTTACAGATTCCCTTGCACTAAAGGGGGCAGTTGTCTGTGCCTAGTTTTCAAAGTGACACTTGATGAAATCTACAGCATTAAGTCTGCTCTGTGGGGTGGGAGCAGACAAATGAGCAGCTCTGGTCATTCTGAAATGCTATTCTTGCCTTTCATTTTAGGATTAGCTAGTCCTCCCAGCTTCTGCCACCCTAAGCCTGTGCTGCTTGCCACTCTCCCCAGTTTCTTCCCACTTTTACTTGACTACAGCTTTCCTTTGATCTGTGACTTAGGGTTTCCTTTTACCTGTACTTCATTATACTCTTTGATCCCACTCTTAGCTTTGAAATCCAGTCATAATCAAAATAGTGGATTTAGGGCCGGCCCGTGGCTCACTCGGTAGAGTGCGGTGCTGATAACACCAAGGCCATGGGTTCGGATCCCATATAGGGATGGCCGGTTTGCTCACTGGCTGAGCGTGGTGCTGACAGCACCAAGGGTTGAGATCCCCTTACCGGTCATCTCTTTAAAAAAAAAAAAAAAAAAAAATAGTGGATTTAAATGGCATTACATTTGAAACACATTTTATTTTTATTAATCTGAAATATATTGCCCTTTCCCTATGAAAATATAAAATAAGGCATTTTGCTCCACTTCCTATATTTTGATAAAATGTACTGAAATTTAAAATTTCCTTCATTTTAAAATTAACCAAACTAACTTACTAATATTGTTTGGTAATGTTAATATCTAAACATTTTCGAGGGGTAACTGCTAATCAGTCATGAGGCTCCCTTTTCGGGTGGCTTTGCATCAGAGATCAGCTCTACAGTTAAAGAAGAATGTTTCTTGAACCTAGATGCTCCTATATCAAGAGTCTGTGTGTAACATACTGTTTTCTCACATTTTTGAGCCATCCTACATCCCAGACAAATGGAAGTGCCATGATGCCCTTCAAAAAATGAACAACTGTTGGGCCGGCCCGGTGGCGCACTGGATAGTGCGCCGCTTGGGAAGCGCAGCGGCGCTCCCGCCCGAGGGTTCGGATCCCACATACAGACTGGTTCCCGCTCACTGGCTGAGCGAGGCGCGGGAGCAACGCCGAGGGTTGCGATCCGTTGCCGGACACGGAAAAAAAGACAAAAGACAAAAAAAAAAAAATGAACAACTGTTGACCACATAGGAAAACTGAAAGATTATGACTACAGAAATATTTTCATGATTTTTAAAAAAATATTTCCTCAGACTTATCTCTTCTTGAAGATAGAGTTTTTATTAAATGAACCATCATGGATGTTGGCTAAAAGCTATAAATTAATTACTGTATTAATATTTAAATAATTTCTTCTGTTTGGATTAAATCACTGTTTACCAACCCACATTTTAGTGCAGACCAGTAAACTTTGAGGTATGAGGAAGGGACATGGAAAGAGGGTGCTGGGCCGGCCCAATGGCGCACTGGAGAGTGCGCCGCTTGAGAGCGCGGCGGTGCTCCCACTGAGGGTTCGGATCCCATGTGGAGACCGGTTCCCGCTCACTGGCTGAGCGCGGTGGGGGCTCGGCGCCGAGGGTTGCGATCCCGTTACTGGTCAGTAAAAAAGACAAAAAAAAAAAAAAAAAAGAAAGAGGGTGCAACCATAACTCTGTGAGAGAGGGAAGGAATGGCAGGACACAGTGGGACAGCGAACTGAAGGTTTTGTCTCCAAAATTTTAGTCGTCTTTGGATTGAGAGAAACACTGTTAGGTAGTTGTTTTGGTTAATATCAAGATAATACACTTCTAGACTTCAGCTAAAACAAACATATAAAGACTGTTTTTGCTGGTACCAACCAAGCCAGTTCAAATGCCAATTTCCATTTGAAAATATCTTAAATTAATCCAGGGCATAATTTCATAATTGCCACTTTTACCTCTCTCTCTTCTTTGGGGACCCAATAAAACAATTATTCTTGGTTTTAATACAGTCAGAATTTTAGGAAGATTTACTTCATATTTTGGTTCTTAGATAATTCTATTATGTAAAAGATGAAGTAAAACTAATTCAGTGCATTGACTTCAATGCATAATTAATTCACTCCTCTTCTGTAGATTGGAGGAGAATACCCTTAAATCAATACCTTTTGATCACAAAAGGATCTTCCCCTTATTTTGGTTTTGTTCTAATATTGAAAAATTGCCTGTAAGAGCCTTCAGGTGAAATCATCTTAATTGAGAAGGAAATAGATAAAGAGAGGCCATCTGTCCCAGAAATCAGCTTGAACTCAGGAAAAACTGGGGATGACCCAAACTATCATGCTTTCTATCTTTCTTTTGGCCAGGATATCTAGTTCCAAAACCTGGCCTGCACTTCCCGTTGGAGCTGAGAAGAACCACGGGTAGAAGAATCACAGGATTCCAAGGAAATGAAACAATGACTTGACTGCAAGATAGGTGAGTGCTGTTTAGAAATGAGGTAAGGAAAGAAAAATTCAGCCTTAATTGGAGTAAAAAGCTTTGGGATTCTATTTAGTAGTTTCTGTCTTACTTTTAATGGTTTAATACAACTCTTTTTTTCCCTCTGGACAGGGTGACATCTGTAATTTCTATTTCTTCTCTCAGGTTTTGGGATCAGGAGAGAAAATGAAAATTCTTCAAAGCAGAGGAAACTGGATACTATGCATCCATTCATTGTTACTTTAGAGGGCTCTCCATGATCCTATAAACGTTTAGGAAATCAGTGGAGAAACCCTTCATACTTAGCAAAGCTTATAGATCGTCAGAACCCTTCTATAGGGAGAGAAACCTGAAACTCCAACCTGGAAGAACCTTTCAAGCATAAACCACATAAGAAAAAGTCCAGGAGAAGCTCCGTTTGTTAGAGCACAGTGTTGGTAACACCAAGCTCAAGGGTTCCAATTCTGTACTGGCCAACTGCTAAAAAAAAAATAATAATAATAAAGCCCAGGAGAGAGACCTCACCAGTGTTCCCAGGGTGGGAAATATGTTGCTCAGAAATTGCAACTTAGCAGCAGAGGATTCATTTAGGAGAAGAACTTCACAAGTGCCCTAGTTGTGGGGTAAGCTTCTTTACTTCTGACTTTTATAGACCTTAATGTCTCTACACATGTGGGAGAACTTGTGCACGCACTACACTTTATGAAAAGAGATTTGGCAGTGTGTGTTAAGAACCTTGAACTGGTTCTCCCCTTTGATCAAGCAGTTCCACATCTGAGAAACAATTCTGAAGGGGGAAAAACAGAAACAACAAATATTAAAATTTTACATACACATACACACACAGAACCTCCAATGACTCCCCACAGAAACGCCTCAATAAGTCTGGAAAGATCTTTATGACATAAGCCTTGAGCTGTGGCAACAAGCACTGCATTAAATCCTGCCCCAAAGTAGAATCACTTTTGTTGGTGCTCCCACAGTGTTTTGTTTATACCTCATTTTTAGCATTTAGCACAGTTCATTTTAGCTGGTAGGGTTAGTTGCAGTCATACGTCAACCTGCATCCTCTTCTGCCCTTCCAGTGTACACATATCAGCATCACACACACACAACTGGATTTTTACAAGGTAGGGAACATCTATTATTCATCTCTTCATCACTTAAAAGACCAAGAATGTACTAAACCTTAATGAATGTTTGTAGCATTGAATCAAGAAACATGTGAGATAGCTCTTGGAAACCAGGAACATAGAACATTACATGGATATATCTAGTTACGAGCCTTTTAAAAGGATAAGGGCAAAAATCAGTACCCATATTGTAAGTACTGTAAAGACTAAATGATATATATTTAAGTGGAGGCCCTAAACATAATAAGCTTTCAAAAATTTCAGTATATATTGTTTTTATTCTTTGTTGTTTAATGATAAAAAGCATTAAGGCTATGAATTTCCCTCTAAGTGTAGCTTTAGTTACATCCCATAATTTTTATATATAATATCCTTCTCACTGATGATTTCAAAAGTTTGTCATTGAGGTTTTTCTTTTTTTTTTCTTTTTTTTAAAAAGATGACTGGTAAGGGGACCTTAACCCTTGACTTGGTGTTGTCAGCACCATGCTTAGCCAGTGAGCTAACCGGCCATCTCTATATGGGATCCGAACCCGGGGCCTTGGTGTTATCAGCACCGCACTCTCCTGAGTGAGCCACGGGCCGGCCTGAGGTTTTTCTTTTATTTCCTCTTTGATCCAAGAGCTGGTCAACTAGTCAAGCTGTTCAAGAAAAATATTCTCTTACCTTTTTAAAAAAATGTGTTGATTAGAAAAATGAGGTTTAGGCCGGCCTGTGGCTCACTCGGTAGAGTGCGGTGCTGATAACACCAAGGCCACGGGTTCGGATCCTATATAGGGATGGCCGGTTTGCTCACTGGCTGAGCGTGGTGCTGACAACACCAAGCCAAGGGTTGAGATCCCCTTACCGGTCATCTTTAAAAAAAAAAAAAAAAAAAATAGAAAAATGAGGTTTTTCAATCCCTGTACCAGCCAGCTACCAAAACAAAAAGAAAAAAGAAAATGAGGTTTATTCTATTTTTTATTTATTTACTTACTTATTTATTATTATTTTACATTCTAAGATGTTGCAGAGCAGTTGCGGGGAGAGGGAGAAGAAAAAAGGTAGTGCGATAGGGTGGGAGGAGAAGGAAAGAGGGGTCATAGTCAAGGACCATGGCAACTTCCTAAGTTCTTTTTTTTTGTTGTTGCCCTAATCAACTTTTATTTATTTATTTTTTTGTTTATTTATTTGTTATTTTATCTTTTATTTTTTTATTTTTATTTTAGCTTCTCAATATACATTGTAGTCAATTTTCATGACCCTTTACCTGTTCCTCTTTCCACTTCCCTCTCTCCCCTCTCCCCCCACTACATCATATCTGTTCACTTGTCTTAATAAGTTCAAGGAATTGTTGTGATTGTTGTGTCTTCTTCCCCCACCTTGTTCGTGTGTTTATTTATTTATTTTTAGCTCCCACAAATAAGTGAGAACATGTGGTATTTCTCTTTCTGTGCCTGACTTGTTTCACTTAATATAATTTTACCTTTCTCATTTCTGCAGAGGAGACTGGGGTGCTTCCAGGAACAGCTTGGTGGTCATCACTGGGCTGGATGTGGACATCAGGGGGTGTGGCTGAGGCCCTTGGCCCCCAACCCCTAACCCTGGCTTGGGAGCCTGAGGTGCTTCTGGTCCTTCTAGGTTTTACAGGTGTTCTTTGGTGATGTTAGACCTTTACTGGTTAATATCAGAACTTTGTCTCTGATATGTGGGGTTTTTGTTTTTTCTGTCAGTTCTGTGTTGAATTATTCTCTATTCCTACCACTTAAACTTTGCACCGGAACTAACTTGGTGTCCTTTGCTTACTTCTAAAATAGGGGAGCTTCCTGTAGGAACCAGCACTTGGGCCCTGTGGTTGAGCTAAATTGCTGCTTTGCCACTGATTTTCTGGGGAAGGCTTTTTGTGCAGCTCAGGTTTTAATTGTTGACCTTGTAAGCACTTCCAGGTCTTGTGAGGTACAGTACACTGGCCTCTGAGTGGCTCCTTTTTTCAATTGTTGTGGCCCCTCACTCCTATGTGGGTCCACAGGAACGCTGTTAGTGGCCATGCTGGCCTGGGACCACCAAGTCCCTCTTCTCCCCGGTAGCCTCCAAGCAACTTCATATGAAGGGCACAGCTGCAGCTTTTGCCAGCTCTTGCTCCGTGTGCTCACCAGAGTCAGGCTTGAAGTGGTAGAAGGCTCAAAATGGTTGGAGTCATCCTTTCTTTCCTTCATCTTGGCTTCTGCTGCCTTCATGCACTCCATAGTTCTCTCCTCTTCCCCTGAGCCCTAGTGGCCCCAGCTTGGCAGTTGTTGCTTTTTAATAGTTATAAATTGGTTGATTGTGGGAAAGGGTGATGCTGGGGATCGTCTGTTATGCCATCTTGATCAAAAACTGAAAGGTGGTTTATTTCTGCTTTGAAAAGTTCATTTGGTTTTTCTTGTAGACATATATTTCATAAAACATGTTAAGTATCCTAAAGGCCCCAGGAAACAAGGGTTCTATTTGTAGGACACAGTCTAGAATAGTCTTGGACCTCTCAAGTTATTTTATATCCTTGTTGCTTCCCTTTTCTGCCTCTTGAGTTTTTGTATTTCCTGTTCCCTTGTAAGGAGGTTTTTTTGTTTGTTTGTTTGTTTGTTTTTAAATCTATTCTATGATCTTTAAATAGTAATTGTTAACAGCTGCCTAGCTATTAAAGCTGGCAGTGAGGAAGGGAGGTTAAAAGACCTAGGTAAGGTCTCATCTCCTTCTCTAGCTGAGGACATCCTCCCTGAGATTCCATACTTGTTTTTGTTCCTTATAGCAGAGAGTACCTGCAGGGGCCACATTAAGATTTTTTATAGCTGTGGCCTTCCAGAATCCACAGGGATGGTTTCATAGTACGCTGAGGGTGTTGTCTAAGCTAAAATCAAGGAAATTGGGGAATAGGTGAATCAGCTCCCAAGGGGCTCACCATATGGAGGGGGTGGGACAGGGAGAAACATTACACTTTGCCCTCCTGCACCTGCAGCCACCATGACATTCCTGAGAAACATGGGGCCCTGCAGGAAACTCCATGATCTTTATTCCTAAAAGGAGTCTCCATCCTGAAATCCCCTCATTTCCAGCCTAGTAATCTGGGATGAATAATCTCAGAAATAACCAAAGCTCAGACTTCAGCCTCCAGCCCAGTTCCCTGTTCCCTTCTTTGAAGTGCCCCATAACAGATGTGGAACAGGGTGGGAAGGTGAACTTGGCCCTTGGCCTTTCCTAGCATTTATAATCAGTCTCATCAGCCCCCAAACCTGGGTGTCGTGACAACTGGGAGGTCAGCTCCACCCATCGTTTGCAGTTTTTATTGTCACACTTTCTCAGAGGTCTAGCAAAGCCTGGACCCACATTTTATTAATCACAAAAATTGTGTTTTATTTTAAACATTTGCATTTAACTAACATCTTCAACACCCAACAGAATAATATAACAGGATGTTTTATTAGAGGTAACTTCAAAAACCTAAAACTTGAGGTCTTTCATGAAGATGAAACTAAATGGCCCTAGGAGAGGCCTGTCCACCCCTGCTTTGTATTTTATAGTAATTCTTCAGTCATCTTTCCCATACTAGGGCTTCCTCCTAGGAGTAAAAGAGGGTGGGGGCAACAGGGAAGGACTAGAGGCCCCTCACCTTGGCATGGGGGTGGGGAGAAGCACACTTCCACTGCCTGTCTCCTACGGATTCTTTGCCATTTCTCCCATCAAGAAGTGGGGCCTGTGTTCCTCCTCCTCGTATCTGGGCAGCTTATGAATTCTACAAATGAAATATGATGAAATATAGATGCTGTGTGACTTTCAAGGTGAGGTCATAAAAGGCCTTGCAGGCCGGCCCGGTGGCGCATTGGATAAGTGTGCCGCTTGGGAAGCGCTGCGGCGCTCCCGCCCGAGGGTTCGGATCCCACATACAGATCGGTTCCCGCTCACTGGCTGAGCGAGGCGCAGGAGCAACACCAAGGGTTGCAATCCTGTTGCCGGTCCCCGGTCCGGTACGGGGGCAACACTGAGGGTTGCAATCCGTTGCTGGACACGGAAAAAGACAAAAGACAAAAAAAAAAAAAAAAAAGGCCTTGCAGATTCCATCTTATTGGCTAGGAGAACTTGCTCTCGGAGCCCTGAAGGCACCATGCTGGAGAAACCACACGTAGTCTCCCTGGTGGACAGTCCAGAGGAGCTTTGTTTTATAAAATAGAAACAAAATCAAGCAAATAGAGAGGCATTGCAATTTATTAATTGTGGGTGGTGGTTACATAGGTTTTGTTATGTTCTTTGTATTTAAACTGTTTCATTTTAGGGCTGGCCCGTGGCTCACTTGGGAGAGTGGTGCTGACAACACCATATCAAGGGTTAAGATCCCCTTACTGGTCATCTTAAAAAAAAAAAATGAATTAAATAAATAAATAAAAATAAACGATTTCATTTTATCACTTGGGAGAACATGGTGCTAATAACACTGAAGTCTTAGGTTCCCATCCCTGTACAGGCCAGCTACCAAAAACAAATCACCCCTTCCCCCCAGACAAACAAACAAACTATTTCATTAAAAAAAAAAACAACTCCAAGAAAAGTGGCATAATTAGCGATGTTACCTCTGGCTATTGGTTTGAAACATGGCTCTGACTCTAGCCTCAGAAACAAATCTTTTCCAGCAAGGGGAGGAAGAAGATTGTAGGTTCTGCCACAGGAGGTTGGGGGGAGCACAAGGGGCCCTGGCAGGTCCTCCCGTCAGTCCTGTCTGCTCCATGGTCCTGGGAGCACTCCTCAGTCCCTTGTACTTTGTGTCAAGACCTTGCAGGCAGCCAGCCAGCTGCTCCCACGACCCTTCTTCTTGAGGGTTGCCCTCTGTTTCCACCTCCCAGAAACAGCGTTGCCAGTCCTGAGGCTCTACCCTTGAGTTTGACTCTCAGTGTTCCTAAAAAGTAGGGATGGGGAACAAATATCTCTGTTGGGGTAGGGATTATTGGTGGGATCTCAGAGCTTCCCCTGGGAAGTAAGCAGGTAGCTTGTAGGGTTTATGTTATTCCCAAAAGTGCGATTTTTTTTTTGTCCTTTGAACTATTTTGCTCAGTGAGGTTCTTGAGCAAAGGGTTGGCAGGGTAAGAGTCAGACCTAGCACAGGCCAAGGCTGCCTGCAAAGATGTATCATTCTGAGAGGTGGCTGTGGCAAGGGGGCTGCAAAATGTGGGCTCCTCAATTGTTAGAGTGTCTCCTAACTCTAGAATTAGAGAAGGGATCCATGGGCAATGGGAGTCAGCCCTGGAAAGGGAGGATGAGGTCTTTCACTGTCAGTCAAGGCTTCCTGCAATTCCATGACCACGTTCACATGACCAACCAGTTGCTGTGCCAGACATGCATTAAGGAGATGCTTCCAGAAGCTGTGGCACTGCAATCTAGACTGGTGGTTCTCAGGCTTGGTCAACATTAGAATCACCTGGGGACCTTTTAAAAATTGATGCCTGGGCACCACATCCGCTAGAGATTCTGATGTATTTGATCTGGGCATCAGAATTTTTTAAAGCTCTCTGGGTGTTTCTTTTTTTCTTCTTCTCTCTCTTTTTTTTTTTTTTTTCCCAGGACTTACCTGTCATTCTCCAGGTGTTTCTAACATACAGCCAAAGTTGAAAACCAGTGATCTGTATATTAGTTTGAGGAAGGGCATAAGAAACTTGGAAGGAGGCAACTGGCCTAATAGAGGATTTTTAAAGATGTGGTACATTCGTAATGACTGGTGAAGGAAATGGAAGGTGGTGTGCTGTGTTTCAGTGAAGATTATTATAAACCATAGGTCAGGTTGGATTTCTTGTTAAAAGTCTCCATTTTAAACATTAGATAAGAAGTCTGACTACCTGAGACTGCCATGCTGTGAGGAAGCCCAAGCCATTCACATAACATAAAATAGATTCTCGGTCATCTCCAGTTGTTTCTGCCATCCCAGTCCAAGCAGTCATTGTGGACCAGAGATGAGTTGTCCCTGCTGTGCCCTGCTCAAAATCCTGACCACAAAGCCATGGGCATAATTAAATGGCTGCTGTTTTATACCGCTAAGTGTTGGGGTGTTTGTCATGCAAAATAGATAACCAGAACAACAGTAATACATGAATAAACAATGTACAAGATTCAAAGAATATAGATGTATACAAAAGAAAACTTTTCCATCATCCCTCCACCTAACTTCTGCCCCCCTCTTTAGAGGTATAGTTGGCTATACATCCTACCAGTCTCCTTCTGAAATGCTTAACACACCTATATGTATTCATTATATGTATATATCATGCTATACATATTTTCCAGTTCTTTTTAAAAAAAGTTAACAGTGTGCCTTTGATATCTATCTAGGTCCAGATGAACAGACAGCTGTATGGTATGCACCCTAGTGGTACTGACTGTCTCCTCTGCTTATGTATATTTAGATCGTTTCCAAATTTTTGCTTTAATGACCAGTACTTCAGTGAACATCTCAGACACACATATTTGTGTTCATTTAGTGATTTTCTTTAGGATAGAGTCCTAGAAATGGAACAACTGAATCAAAGGGCTTGTGCATTTTTAATTTCAAAAAATTCTGCCAAATTTTCTTCCAAAAAG